AGAGAGAGAGAGAGAGAGAAAATAGGCTCAAACAGATTCGTTTTATTGCTTCTTCGCCCTCAAAGTTCTTGATCTTGTTACTTGAAGCAAACGCGCTTGTACAACTTAAAAACTCTTATTTCTTAGTACAATAGCAAAACTGAAATTATCAGTGCTTGTATTTTATATACAAAACATGATCGTCTAGGCAGTCAGTGTGGGTATCCCATGAAAAAGGTATTACAGGATGCCTGTAAATGCCGGACACGCTATAACAATTTCTTTGATCCTGGACTGCATAACTCCCGTTAATACTTAGTATCTGTTGGATATACAAACGTATATGTGTAAGAATTTGCGCATGCATACGTATATATATGTGCATGTATATTTGTATGTGTGTTTGTTTGCATGTGTTTGTTTGTTTGTGTATGTATATGTTTGTATGTGTGTATGTTTATATGCGTGTATGTTTGTGTGTCTGTGTGTTTGTATGTGTGTATGTTTGTATGTGTGTATATTTGTATGTGTATGTATATATGTATGTATGCATGTTTGCATATTATTGTATGTATGTATGTATGTATGTATGTATGTATGTATGTATGTATGTATGTATGTATGTACGGTATGTATGTATGTATGTATGTATGTATGTATGTATGTATGTATGTATGTATGTATGTATGTATTTATGTATGTATGTATGAATGTATGTATTTATATATGTATGTGTGTATGAAAAAATCAATCAGTTAGTGCAAGCAAATTTTAACAAGGGGGGATGAATTCGTCTGGTGCACTTTCGATTGCGGCTCGGACGATGTTCCGAGCTGGTACTGCACTGGCACCGATCATCCAACGTGCTCGTATGGGCAGTATAAAGCTAGTACATTCCTGTGCGACTGACCACATCGCACTTCGTCTGGTGCTGATTTAGGGCCACTAACTGGACCTCGTTCTCGAATTCGAACTAGAATAAATATTAATTCTGAGGATTCTTAACGTATATTCGATGCTGCCGGATTCGTTTTGACCATGGTAGTTGTGAGAGGACGGGTGGTAAGCAAACACTAGAAAATCCCCACGGCAATTTTCAAAAGCCGTAGGATTTAGCTAGAATGTCTTAAAGTGCATGCACCTAGATATAAAACACCAAAGATCAAACTTTTATATGGATTAATACTGATTTTTGTTCTAGTGCTAGTGGGAAAGACATCTAGGAGGATGCGTCTCTTTTGATATCAAAATGTGCTGAATGCATTCGTTTCAGCAAGTGAAGAGTAATAGCTGAACTGTATTTATGCGTTTTCGCATACATGCAAATACAAAACGCATGTTGTGACAACCTCGGGGTGTGCGTGTGTGTAGGTGTTTCTGTGTATGTGTGTGTGTCCAGGTATTTCATCTCGGCAACCAAACAAACTTCGGCGCTGAAATTTTGCCAGTGTGTTTCCGGCGTTGAAATTTTGCCAGTGGGTTTCCCGGCCAAGTGCCATCCTAGGGCTGCGGTGCCAACCTTCATGCACGTCTGGGCCTCGCGTTCGACCGAGTGAAGGTTGGCTGGAAAATTGCTAACTCGGGGACCAGGAAAGCTGCGAGGCTGAAATTTTAGGGTTATATTCTCAGCTCACCTGTAACTTAGAGATTTCAAATTTAGCCCCGGGCGTATATGTTCCTCACTTACAACCCCGCGAAAATTAAAATTTTTGGTGGGGAAATTACTAACTTGGGGACCAGAAAAGCTAGAAAGCTGAAATTTTGAGGGTATGCCTCCTAACCAAGTGTCATGCAGTCGCACAGTTAATTTCGTGAACTTCAAGAACCAGTACGTCACAAATTCTAACTACTGGGATTTCAAGCGGTTTTAGTACAGTACGAGATACTGCAAAAACGCACAATCGCTCGGGCCCGCCCAATGCGCGTCGCCAATGATTTGACATAGGTACGCGTGTTTATGCAAATGAGTGACGTGATAATAAAATAGACATCAACATGATGGAGTCCGCAAACTGAAATAATTTACTATAATACTAATTACTCCAGACTGGATAGATAGTAGCAGTAGAAACAGAATGAATGGTAGCTAATTCTGGTGCCATTTTCACAAAAATACCCTCAAGATTAGCCACTGCTTATGCTTTTATTCCGGCAACATCTACATTTTCTCTTCTGTAAATAAGACATCAGTACCGATTTATTTAAAAGACCAAAAGTCTTAATGCAAAGCAGAAGCACTCGAGAAGTAGCGTGAGTGGGTTAACAATTGCCAGTAGCAGGCATGTCCTGGCAAAGCTACCGATGACTTCCTCTTTCGACGGTTGCTTATAAGTAAGTTGATGACGCGTTTGTTGCTACCGAAACCCATATGAGATTTAGTACTTTCATATCCTAACAGGTGCAGGGTATTTCAGTGGGAGACGACTCCAGTCCTGATATGCCAGTACCAATTTACCATCGAAACGAATGAACGAATCACTAAGGAAATGGCTGTCCCACCGGCGGAGTTGAACCTTTGATTTGCTGCACAACAACAATGCTTATTCACTGCGCCATGCTTGCCGATATTTAATATCTATAATTATAAGTTACTTTTAGATCTGAGTAGAATTATAAACGCTCTTCAAGGAATAGATATCAGCTAACTGCTAAGTGTATTTGAAAGTACTTAGGACTGAAATCTATATCTTATAAAAAGAGGTAACACAAAACCTCCTT